CACTAAATGTACCAGAATACAACTTCAGGTGGAGTGCATCCTAGAGCAAAACAGCATAGCTCTTCCAAGCAGTGTGCCTAGGTTCTGGAGCCCTTGTATCTGGAGCAGGAGTGTGGAAATGCAGGTGTGGGTTGCATAGTGACCAGCTGTTGACACTCTTGATGAGTAGTCCCCTGAGAGGCTGGCAGCCGTGGATCTTGCTAACTTCAGGGAAAATTGCTCTGTTATTTTTGGCACAAATGCTAGAGGTCAATATTTGTCCTCAAATTAGCAAGAACAGGTTCTAACTCTGGGTCCCCACACAGAAGCCAAAGGGAATAATGATTACAGACCCAGGCATGGACATTACACTTGAGTGTATTTATATACGTTGTTTCATTTGTTCCTCTAACAGTCCTGCGAATCAGGCAGTGCAAATTCCACCTATCCCCACTTTACAGATGGGAAAATTAGAGCTTGCAAGATTAGTAACTAAGTAGATAAGAAGTGGTAAAGCCAGAACAAACACCTCCCTAGACCCAGGCTTCCAAACTCATACACCTGCTCTTTCTCTCTCCCCCACCCCCGCCCCCTCCCAGGTGCTGTCTTTCTCTCCTCCCCGCTCTCTAAGAACATCCAAGAGGGATAGACACAGTAAGGCAAGAACAAAACATTTTTCAGGGCAAAGTAAGTTCTTCTCTCCCAACAAGTATAATTCCTGCATTTCTGATTTTCTTTTCGTTTTAAAAGAACATGAGATGATTACCTCTGATATAAAACCCTTGGCTCCCCCAGGGAAAGATTTTTAACACAACTTCTTGAAGCAAACATATCTTTTTCACCTTAAAATACCACCAATAGTCACAGTCTGTCAAGCATGTTCAGGCATCCTCTTCATGTGGCTGACTTCCATGGGCATAAGGGATGGGAGACCAGGCAGAAAACAGCAAGCAGCAGATCACTTCTGAAATGAGCAGACCAGGAAACAGTAGCCCAAAAAGTAAAACGACTCGTCCAGGTTCCTAGGGAGGGTTAGTGGTCCAGGCTTCTGGTCTACCACACACTGCCTCCCAGCCATGACCGTTGGACTGGCAGAAGCCACCAGATGAGGCTTCTGAGATGGGGCTTTGGAATTTTCCAAAGCTTCCAGAGTCCCTTGATGCCATAACAAATTATGCAATGTGACACATGGATGCATTTGTGCATAAACAAACCTAAAGATAAAACTCAGGAAAATGGTCAGAAAGAGTGGGGCAACCAGCAGAGACTGGGTGGTATCCAGTGGAGTTTTTAGGGGTGAATTTGGAGAGGACACGAATGAAGTGGAATTTGGATTGTCTAAGCAAAGGGAATAGTGCTTGCCAAGGCCGGGAGCTAGAAAATGGTTGTGGATTGCATGGAGCTGGACCTGAGGTATGAATGGAGAAGAAAGAACCATCAGTCCAGGGGCCTCGGCTGAAAACAAGGACTGCATGCTCACTTGCTAGAGGAGCACTGGTGGATTTCAAGCAGGAAAAAGCCACGTCAGGTTTGTGTTTTAGATCGGGACTATTTCATAATAAAACTTCAGGGTTGCAGGTGAGGCTCGAAGCAGGTGGAGGCAATGTTAATAGTCTAAGTAGAGTGCAGGGAGGGAAGACCAACTTTAAAATATGCAAAATATGAGGGGCCGAGGAAGAAAGAAGAGGTGGTGAGCAGGGGTTCCGTGGAGAGGTCAGGGCAAAATGTGCCAATCTGGGCACTGCCAGCCATTCATGGAAATTAGGGACATTGTTGTGGATGGGAATACTCAACATAGAAATGGCAGATCTAGGAAACTTCAACACAGCACAGGGACTGTTGTGTAAGGGATCTTGGCTAAATGGGCTTATGTTTGATGGGCCTTGAGATTCCTGGGAGAGCAGAGGTTGTGGATAAGGGGAAGAGATTGGCTCCATCTAAATCATTTCCTGGCATGTCACACCCTTCCCTGGGCTTCCGTTTCATCAACTGCATCACTATGGCATTGGACTCGACAATCTCTAAAAGAATCGCTTCCAATTTTAATATGCTATAATTCTAAATTTCTTCCCAGTAATGTAAATCCAACAACCAGGAAATTTGCTGTGAAGGAAACTCTTGGCTTTAGAATAAGGAGAATTTGCTTGGGATCAAGAATGAAATGTAAATGCTTTATTGGATATACATGTCGTGTAACTGCAAACATCAACTTTCTGATAATGAGGAAGGACAGAAGGAGTTTAGAGACATCCAATAGAATAACTAAACTACTAACACCAAAACATATGCCATGATTTCCACCATAAGTTATGATATAGATGAGTCAGTCTGGGAGAGCTGTATTTAGGATTTTAGGAGCCTCTCCCCACTTAATGACAGAGGATTCCATTTAACTACAGGGAAAAGGAAATGGCTGGTCCAGGCAGTATTTGACATCTCCAGGACCAAGATATCCAGCACATCTGAACAAAAATAGCTGCAAGGTGGGTGCACCGGCAGGACTGGGACCCAGAATGTAGCAGGGTCCTTAGGTCACAAGAGATAAAGTGGTGACACACATACACACAAGAAAACACACACTAAACAGGGCTTGTTAAGAATATAATGCCTGGAATCTGGACACCTGTGGTTTGGTGTTGGGAATGGGGGGCGGGGGGGCTCTCACTGCTGGTGCCATCAGAGGAGGGTCAAGCTGAAGAGGTCTGTGATCTAGAGTAAGGACTGATGGAGCATGGAGCTAGAAAATGGGGAACTCAAGTCACAGACTAGGACATAAGGAGAGCCGGGACACAAGGAGAGCCAGTCCAGCTGGAGGGATCGGCACAGCAGATCTGGGCTACTAGGGGAAGCTGAGAGTCAGTGACGGGACACACAGAGACAGAACAAGCTCTGGGACCAGCCTCACTGAGTCTCTGACGCGTAACAGCTTTTATGCCTGAATTGTCACAACCCACTGGGGTCGACTGGTGAGCAGCCACCGTGTACACTTGCATGAACCAGCATTGTGTGAGAGGCTCCTCTCTGCCTGTCTTATTCAGCTCCATGACGTGACACGTAGCCTCTCTACTGGCCCGTACCATGCTGCTTCTCTGCATGTTGATGTAACCCAAGTGGTAGGCTAAATATCACGGACCAAATGCCACCGCAAGAAGGTTGGTAGATTACAGCTCTTTAGCTCCTTCTGTTCTCAAGGGCAATTATTAGTTTAAGTAAGAGGTGGTGTCCTGATTTCGTTGTCATGAATACAGGGCCGTGGAAATCAAGAACACTTGCCAGGTGCGAAGGTGTTTGTCGTCATTCAATCAAAGCATACCTTTCCAGTATGAGAATAGTGTCACGAGGAGGATGAATAATGATCTTGCTAACCATACTACAACACCCAAGCCGTGACACATCAAGTGTTAGCCAAACCATTAGACTGCGCTCAGCATTGTACCAGGGACAGGGGGAGAAGTAAATACCACCCTGGCCTTCTAAGCACTAAAATGTTCATGGCAGAGGGGCTGAAACACAGCAACATGAAACCATGAGCAAACCTCATAACGATGACATGGGAAGGAACACTATGGTCATCCATACACAAAAGGTCAGAAAAAGAAAGACAACAGTGTAAAATAACAAGATAATGTGTTCTGCCTGTTGATTTCACAAAGATTAGGGAGGAAAAATGCTAGTGCCACTGGCAAGTTGACAAGAATGTAAGGAACCGAACACTTTTATATACTGTCAAGTACAACCTCTGTGGGGGACAACTGTGCACTCTGTGTCAGAATTTTTAATGTTTAGACTTTTTGACAAAGCCATACCTCACCTCAGGATTTATCCTCATAAAATAACTTGCACAGGCCAAGCACACAACTATATAGGTTCCAAGACGCTCATCCCAGTGTTTCATGAAGTAGTGAAAAATTCTAAGTAAATTAAATGGGATGTGGTAAAGGAAATGATGATATAACCCATGATGAATACTATGCAGTCATTTAAAAAAGATGATGTATTCTACCGTTATTGATGTAGAAGAATGTGTGATATGATGTTAAGTGAAAAAGTTGCTTCAATACAAAGGTGTATAGTAAAGATACTTATCTCTATGAAAATAGGATCCTATTCCCATATCTGTAAATATGCACAGGTAAAGAAATAGGTCTAGGAAGCAGTCACCAAAATGTAACCATGATTTCCTCGGGATGGCGTTAGATTTATCATTTTTAATTTTTTCTGCAGTTTTTATATAATGAACATATTTTAGTTTCACAGAAAAACAAGTCTGCAAAAAAAGTATAATAATGGTGGGCAATGTTTCAGTTACTACATATGTTAGCAACACAAAGAAATTAAGCCCAAAGAACTGTGAAGAAATTAAAGAGAACTTTTCAGTAGAGATGACCAGTATTTTTAATAGCTCCAAAATTATTTTTTAATAAGGATTCAATTTCTGTATGTATTATTCTGGCTCCCAAACTCAGTGGATTATAACCTATATCCCAGTTAAAACAAAATGTTTTCAGCCCAAAATCATTAAGGTTATAAACCCATCAAAACTTACAACTTTTAAAAGGCTCCAGGAACCCAAAAAGTAAGACAAAGAAAGATGTATAAAATCTATTTAGTTTTTTAGAAAGAGGAAACCAAATGAATACAAAAATATCAGCTCCAAAAATACCAAGAAAGCTTCAATGGAGGAAAACAGAGGAAAAAGATTTGGCATATGGATGTCAAAAATCCAGTGTCAAAGAGGTTTTGAAAACTGGTCGTGCGTCACCAATTACATATATCCAAGATAAGTGTGACAGATGCTCATTTTCAAGAGCAATGGGAAGCTTTTTAATGCCCTAAAAATCTGTTTTCCGTGACTGACTGATAATATAACTGTAGTGTGGGTTTTTTATTCTTTTGATTATTGGAAACCAAATACTGACCTAGGAAAAAGAAGGAAGAGCGATCTAGTTGTAAATGACAATTAAATCAATTCGTATCTAAGACATGTTTTATAGATAATTGTCTTTTCTTCTCACCTACAGGAAAAGCGCAAAGAAGAAATTGCAGCAATGGCCAAGCTGACAGAATCCATGAGTGAGTAGCTTCAAATTTATTATTTATTTTTGTTTTTGAATGGGAAAATGCAAAATCGCACAAAAAAGACATCCGTGTGATGAGCTAATTTGTCCTTCTCTTTCGCTCTTACGGATCTGTTTCACACATACTGCATCGTGTTGATGTTACTTTATGCGCTATTCGGAATTCGTCTTGCTTGAGGTCAAGTTCTGTGCTGAAGCTGTTACCCACAGTATGGAGCTAAAGAATAAAAATAGATTTATTTGTAACACTGCATTGGGGCTTGGGACCCATAATAATTTCAACCTTTTAGGAGGTTTAGTCAAAGTCAGCTGAAGTTTTTTCTGGGCATCTATTCCATGGGCTGGATGATCTCTAAAGAGAAGAAAGAATGATAAATCATTGTTAAACCTTTCCGGTGTAGTTTAGAAATTTCAGACAGAACTATTAAAAAATAGAGTGCTTGCAATGTAAATGGTACCTTGTAATGATTTAGGTTTTGATCATGGCATTACAGTGCTCTTAAACTAAATAAACAGGATACACAAGCATTTTTAAGAGGAAAGGGGGCCAGGCACAATGGCTCATGCCTGTAATCCCAGCACTTTGGGAGGCTGAAGCAGGTGGATCACTTCAGGTCAGGAGTTCGAGATCAGCTTGGCTAGCATGGTAAAACCCTGTCTCTATTAAAAATACAAAAATTTTGCTGGGCTTAGTGGCTCACGCCTTTAATCCCAGCTATTTGGAAGGGTGAGGCAGGAGAATCACTCAAACCCAGGAGGTGGAGGTTGCAGTGAGCCGAGATCACATCACTGCACTCTAGCCTAGACCACTGATCGAGACCCAGTCTCAAAAAATCAAACAAACAAACAAAAAAGGGACGTGGAATTCAGAGCTTCCTGCAAATGAGAAGTTCAATTGTCTATGTCAAAGTCTAAATATTAAAGACTATATGAATATGAAACAAACCATGAAGGCACATTTTTTCCTTTGAAAAACAGAAATTTCTCCTGGTGATAGATTTCATATGTAAAGATACAAGTGAGGCTTACCAACACTTCTCCATGAACACCTTATTAAATCTGGTCTGCAAAAATTAACTATTAATGTCACCCATGTTTATGCACCTTCCTCCTCAAATCATGAGACTATAATCTGTAGCATAGTAAGTGAACCTTTATTCCAAAATATTCACCCATACCAAGAAAATACAGCCTTAAAAAGTTGTTTACATTGATTTCCTTTCATTCCTGACCCCAAACCTCTGTGTCATTTTATAAAAGTCTTAAACACATGCTAATTTCACTTTGATAACTCAAAAGGACTGAGTAAATTTTTAAAAACCCTCAGCACTGACACCCCTCTCCCTGCTCTTATTTCTATATCATCTCCTGCCCTGCTCTCAGCTCTGTCCTTTTTTTCCACCTGTAGTCTTGCAAACTGAAAACGTTAAAAGAATTTACAGCTTGGTTCGAGGAACCCCAAACTGGTTATATTAGTCCATTCTTGCACTGCTATAAAGAAATAACTGAGACTGGGTAATTGATCAAGAAAAGCGGTTTCATTAGCTCCACAGTTCCACAGGCTGTACAAGAGGCATGATCCCGGCATCTAAGCAGCTTCTGGGGAGGCCCCAGGACACTTATAATCATGGCGGAGGGCAACTAGGGAACAGGCGTGTCACATGGCTAGAACAAAGGAAGAGAGAGGGCAGGTGCCACACTCTTTTAAACAACCGGATCTCTCTAGCATTTACTCACTATCGCTAGAGCAGCACTGAGGGGGAATCCACCCTGACAATCGAATCGTCTCCCACCAGGCCCCACCTCCAACATTGGGGATTACAATTCAACATGAGATTTGCATGGGGACACACAGCCAAACCACGTCACTGGTTCTCTGTAAGTGAAAGCATCCTAAAATGATGAGATGTGTTCTTCTCACACCTGGAACGAGTGTGGCCAGTGCCATCGCAAAATGGACCAGCCTGTATTGTCCAAATATGGAGTAGAACATGGACCTTATCAATGAATTCACAATCCACAGCACATGAGCAGATTTCATTCTAATCTCTAAGTCCAAATTCACCGACACAAATGACCACAGGTTCTCTGAAGGACAGGAGGATCAGTGGCTTAGAACCTAAACATCATTGTCCGTGAACTGAGTCTCAAGTGTCTGGGTGGATTAAATCAGACGCTGTTGCTCATGAGTTATGATGCTAACAGCTTTCTCAAGGCTTCTTTTAGAAATTGATAATCTAGTTCAGTGAATATTATTTTTTAACTCACCTAGCTGAATTGTAAGGGTACTGGACTGATTAATATTTCTGATAAAGGTATTTTAATTTTTCTTTCTATATTGGTTCCAGATACATTTAAATAAGAGCTCTTCACCTGACTACCAATAGATTTATTAGTTTTAAGTTTCAGGTTTGCCTGGACAATATTTCTAATGATTTTGGTGTGTGAATCAGCTGTTTTAAAAGAATTATATCAAAATTGAATTCTAAAACCTTGGGTAGATGACGGGGAATAGCCATTCTTCCAGTGTGCTCTGTTGTTATGAAAAAGATCACATAGATATTTTCAATGCATAAGGAAATTTAAAAGTCGAGAACAGACCTTAGAATCACGTCCAATGTACCAGTTTATTGGTCCTTACGAAGATCCAGAACATTATAAAAGATATAAGATGTGGGGCAATTTCTTTAGATGCTACAAAATGCTAATCATGTGGTCAACATACCAGACATTTCATTTAAATTAAACTCATGACTAATTAAATATACCACACACTTATTTTACATAGAAATCTACAATGAAATACATAATTAGGTAAGGAGATTCTATCAGTAGGCTGAGCAAAGAATTAACATATAATTACCACACAATAAAATTGATGGGAACATAAACCATGGCCACACTCTGGAAAAAGAAAAAACACAGACAGAACCATTAATACCCAAAACACAATGCTCCGAATGGGTTTCTAGAGCCAATAAACACTTTGCTTGTTAAACTGCCAAGCAAAAACCATCTGGTTACTAGAACATCTCTATGTTTAACTAGAACTGGATAGAGATTCTTCTCCCATCACCCTAGGTGTCCACATGCTAGCAAATGGCTGGCCACATCAATGGCTAAGCAAATACCATAATGGGAAAGGAATGTCTTCTTCTAGAGCAGTAAGGAGGTGCATTTCTTTCCGCTACGTGCCATACATCAACCTTCTCCAAAAAGTCAACTTCCATCATTTTTTAAGGGCAAGCAAGAGAGAGATTTTAAATGTTTGATCAACATTAATAAATGTTAAATGTTTGATTAAAAGCAGCTTTATTTTTTGAGGACTTTGCTGTGAACAAAATGAAAGTAACTTTAATAAATAAAAAATAATACTTTAAAATATTTTAGGTCACATTATTGAAATGAGGACAGGCATGATAAGGATCAGGAAAAAAATGGAGAAAGGAAGAAAAGTAAATGTGGAAGAAAAGATAGAGAAACAACAAAAACACCAAAGAAATATAGAGAAAAGATAGGAATGGTATATGAGGGAAGCTCAAGAGAAGGGGGCATTAAGGGGGACAGACAGAATTACAAGGAGCAAAAACAAGACAGGTAGGCAAAGAGGGAGAGGAGGAGGGAGGAAAAGCTTTTTTTTTTTTTTTTTTTTAAATTAAAGATGGAATCTTGTTCTGTTGCCCAGGCTGGAGTGCAGCGGCACAATCTCAGCTTGCTGCAACCTCCGCCTCCCAAGTTCAAGCGACTCTCCTGCCTCCGCCTCCCAGGTAGCTGGGATACAGGTGTGCATGTGCACCACCACACCTGGCTGATTTTGATATTTTTAGTAGAGACAGGGTTTCACCATGTCAGCCAGGCTGGTCTCAATTTCCTGACCTCGTAATCCACCCACCTCGGCCCCCCAAAGTGCTGGGATTACGTAAGCCACCGTGCCCAGCCAGGAGAGCTTTTAACAGAGAGAGGTTCCATGGGATCTAAAAATTAGCAAACTACATGTGCCAGTTCACAGCCCGTGAACTTTCAAGTTTCCAAAGGCTGGCAAATTTCTAACACTACTCTTTGAAATGTTAATCTCTGTTTGCATCTTCACAACAAACATTTTCATATTTAGACTACCAGAAGCCCTGTTCCAAATGGGGCAACCAGAAGCTAATGCTGGAGGGTAAGGGTTAGGGTTAGGGTTAGGGTTAGGGTTAGAATTAGGGTTAGGGTTAGGGTTAGGGTGACTCTCAGCTTGCCCACTGGTAAGCAGCACTTTACCACTCCACCCACTGACTGAAATGAAACTGAAAGCCTGACTCTAGTGGAGGCTCCCAATGTTGTCTATAAACAGGCATACAGTGACCCAAAACCATGCCATCATCAGAGGTGACACAGCTTAGTAGACCCTGTCCTGACCTCTCAGATGGTGACAAATTAGAGATGTCCAGAGGCAGGCAAATAGCCCAGGAACGCTGAATCACAGTCTCCATGGAATACTTTGCAGGCTGTTCGTACATAAATTTCCAAAGGTTATTTTCTTCATGGTCATTACCTGCTGACACATCACTGCCCTCCAACCTTAGAGGTCCTGGGAATGTATCAAATACAGCACAGGAGTCTTGCTGCATGGTTTCATTAATAATTGGAATTGTAATCAGATATCTAGTCTTGGGCGCGGTGTTGGAATTGCAAGTGTTGGACAGGCAGGGAACTTGGCCCTGATGTCTTCTCTCAGCTGCAGGATCCCTTCCCTAGAACCCACCCCCACTCCCGCCCCAAGGGTTCTGCTGCAAGCCAGAGCCACACTTCTGTCCCGTTCTCCACATCAATTGCGTGTCTGCGGTGCATTGCTGCATCAGTAGGTGGGGGCCACCTGAGCTACCTGTGGCTCTCCTGCGTCTTGGCAGAAGGAGCTGGCTTCCTCTCTCTTGCTTTCCGTCTCCATTCTGCCAGCCTCTCTGGGGCATGCCCACTCCTCGCTTTTCCTTTGCAGCCAGAGCATCCCTAGCTGTT